TTCACTCGAAATAAATAATTGTAAATTATTTGCACGATGCCCAAACATCAATCGATGAACAAATCACAAGATTATTTGTCCATATTTTGCCTACAACCAAAAACAAATCCAAATAATCCAAAGGGACTTCTTTCTTTTGAAACCTCTCCCATGGAGAAGCGAGGAAGTCACTAAACTGATGAAACTTTTAGACAAAAAGTCAAAGAAGAGGGAGTCTCAAAAAAGTCTAAACGTGTTTAGAGAAAAGGGTGGGACCTCCTTCTAAGAGATTGGCTCCCATTGATGCCCCAGCCTTTTCTCTTAGATAGGCTAATTGATCGGCGGTAGTTGTCCTTTGAGACCATGGTGAATGAGTGAATGCGTAAAAAGCTATTGTGGCCAGACCATTGATTAATATATTATCTACAGCATTTGGCCGAAATAGCTTTGTACTCATTGAATACATTAATTGATGCATTAATGTGATTAGGTTGCCTTTCAAAACGAGTAATCATCTGCAGTTCGATACATCTGTCATGTTGATAACATTTAGGCCCAGAAGTATCCACTTTTAGTCTTCAATTTCGTCCTCAATGAAGTCTTTGAATATAGTAACATACTAAAACATGCTATATAGTAACTTTATCGAGGATATTAGTTTAAAAAAACTGCCTCGTTATTTTCCTGAGTTCATCTTGTAGTTACTCTTTTATAGTAATCTAGTAGTGAAACCCGCTGACCAGCAAAATAGATTCAGCGGTCAAACCAGTGCGGAAGAGTAAAAGTTTGAAGATGTTGAGTGTTGGTTTTCATGTGGATAAAAATTTAGAGGGAAGGTAAATCTTGTAAAACTACTGGAATGTACAGATGATATTCAAAGTCATATTCTAAAGTACCATCTTTCACGAGAAAACTTGACATAGTGTCAACTTATCTTGGCCAGGTCTGGAAAATTTTAAGTTAATGCCAATGATGTCTCTGGTTGGTAGATCTGTCCAAAACATAAATATAGTATTGGACAGTTCTCTGGCTTCGAGATAAAGATAATCAAACAAAGAATGGGCTTCCTGTGGTCCGCGTGTGACCTGTGCTCTATAAAACAGCAAAACAGATTCAGCTGTCAAACCAGTACGGAATAGTAAAAGTTTTAATATGGCGAGCGTTTGCTTTTATGCTGATAAGAATTGTGGAGAGTCTAGACTGAAGGTAAATCTTGTAAAACTACGGGATTGTACAGATGATATTCAAAGTCATCTCCTAAAGTACCATCTTTCACGGGAAGACTGGACAGAGTATTAACTTATCTTGGTCAGGTCAGGAAAATTTTAAGTTAATGACAATGATGTCACTGGTTGGTGGATCTATCCAAAACATAGACATGGTATTGGGCAGTTCTGGCTTCCAGATAAAAATAGATAAACAAAGAATGGGCTTACTGTGGTTCACGTGTGACAGCTGAATCTATTTTGCTGGTCAGTGGCTTTCACTACTAGATTACTAGAAAAGAGTAACTAATTTATCTAATAGCTAATAATTATTGCAGCTCTTAAGTATCGAGATTATGATTTATCATATAATTTCAACTTATAATGACCTTATCTTTTTAACAGGAGCAAAGTCTTTAGTGAGTTACTCAGACGGCTGTGGTGGTCAGAACAAAAACATCATAATAATGGCACTTTTTTGCGAATTAGTGAGGAAAGCTGTGTACAGTGATGAATCACAAGTTTCTCACGGGTGGACACACCTTCCTCCCTAATGATACAGACTTTGCACAAATAGAGAAGAGAAAGCGAAGTGCCATGGTCCATCTTCCAGAAATATGACCAAAGGTAGTGGAAGAAGCCGACAGGCTCAAACCCTTTAAGGTACGAGTGATGCAGCAAGAGGATTTTATAAATTTCAAGCAATGTTACAAAACACACTATACTCACAAGAAAAAGACCACCGACACTAAAGAAAAGATCAACTTAAAGCGGGTAATCTTATAAAAACTGCCACACCAGTTTACACAGTTTGTCATTTTTTTCTACATTCCTTTGCAGTCGCGAATATATAATCATTCAATGTTTTTGTACAAAAGAATAAAAATGGCATGCAAATTTAAATTGTTCAATATAATTGTGGGGTTAGTCGGGAATGACTCTTTTAGGCACCTGATTTTCAAAATTTTCTTTTAATTAATTTTAGGTCCATTGGTTGGATTTTGGTTGGGGTGAAGAAGTAGACCAGGCGGGCAACCACACGATGGTTCATCATCCAGAAGAGGTGTGGATGAGGTAAGTGTGATTAAGCAAATCTACGTGCACTAAAAGGAAAATAAATGACAATTTTCCTATAAGCCTTTTATCCAGTTACGAAAAAGAGGTGAAATCACCGAGAGCATATTCAGTAGCATCCATCCAATTGGGAAAAGTTTTTAAAATAAAATTCCACTTTTTGACGATAGAGACTGGAGCAAACAGATGCACAAAATATTGTACTAAAGAATGGGGCATTCCATGCTCCTGAAAGATTTACCTTTTCCTAAGAAGTCCAAACTTAATTTCATTTCACTATATATTTTTACACTCTTTTGTTCTTTATAGATATGGATATTCGAGAGAAGAGCCCTGGAAGAATGTCAAGGGTTGGAATGGCGACCAACTTGAAAATCTGAGACGATTATATGATGGACCGATAAGAGTGAAGGATGCCAAAGTGAAAGATCTGAAGAAGTTGGCAGAGAAACATCTTCCACCCGAAAAAAGGGGATTCTACATGAATCTAAACAACGGGGCAGTGGAAGAGGATGGTTTAGAGTAAGTAATGGAATGATACAAAGTGACTACAAGACTTAGGGCCCGTTCACACTAGACCAACAAAAATTGTCCTGTTAATTTGAAAGATCTGATTTACGTGCAGCAACAACTTATGATGTTGCTTTGTCTTTTGAGAGTCCAGCAACTTCAAAATAAAATTGTGCTCCGAATAAATAATGGAATATGGCGAGGAGGATTTCAGCCGTATTAGATACTACCTAGGCTATCGACTTGAGCATTAGCTGAGCCTTTGGCTTTTCACCTAGGTTTCTTTTCCTTTGCCTTTGAATAGTTGTAGTTATCTTGGACGCCGGTAGTTTGCGTGCCATTTCTATCTGACTTAATGTTTCGTTGGCTATTAACGAGTAGAGATGGATTCATTTGCGATCCGTAGTAGCGCCAAATGCATATGATTCTGTTAGGGATCAAAAAAATCTGTCAGTTTTGACGTTTAACAAAATTTTGTCCTGCTTCGAGGCAGGCCGACGGGGTCTTTGAAGTTTGGTAGAGCGAGACAAATTTTGGTTAGATAAATAAATTGCGTTCGCACTAGGAAACGGCCGATGTTGACAGATTTTTTTGTAAAACAAACATAAATTTAGCCTAGTGCGAACGGGCCATTACTTTTTAAAAAATGGAGTATTCCTATTCATCCAATTTTCGATACTCTACTACCAAAGAAAAATAGAGCATAGGAAAAGAATACGTACGTTAGCGGCGTTTGCTATAGCCAATCCTATCCTAGCACAAAAAATATCCGCTGTCTACAACCAAGGTCTCTGCCGCTTCCTTGCATACCCCAAATACTAGCGCAGACACTAGTTCCAAAGCGATACAAAGCAATGTATGAAAAAGTAGTTGAAAAAGGTAGTTGAAAAACTGGTGTTCTATATATTCTACTAATATCAATACCTATAAGTTCCCTGCTCGGATCCTAAGTCCCATAGCAGCACACCAAACTAGACGAATTCTGGCGGGGACTGAAAATTCCCATACATTTCACTGGTCTGTCCACCTAGTGTGCTCTGATCTTTAAGTGAGGTGGAAATAGAGAAAAATAAGTAAGTTTCGAGCATGATTTACTGTAATTCCCAGGGTGACACTACTTGCTTTCTGAAACATGACATGCGTTGCCATGGAAACCCATCTTGACATCTAATCCTAGAATAAGCTAGTTTATTGGAAAAATAACTCATTTCAATTCCTAGAAAGCCTAGTATAGGCTCCTAGAATTATTTCTTATAATTATGAGTTGCATCATGATAATTGCCTCGTATGATGCAATGAGTCCATAATATCATAGTGTTTTTGTGCTATTGATAGGCAGGTAGCAGGTGCAGAAATGTAAATAAAACATGTTTGTTACTTGAAAATGTAGTCCTATTCTTGCATGCTTATCCTGACGACACACAGCGAACAGAGTGGGTGTGTTGGAAGTAAGGAAATGGGCAAGACTTGCGTTGCCATGGAAACCCGTCGGCCTGTAAAGAGTTGGATTATCATGCCTTGATCATAAGTAGAGAGCGGAATGGTTGAATGGGATAGGAATTGTCGGGAAAASTTCTTAGAACGAATGAACGGACGGACGGACGGACGGACGGACTAAATGAATATGAATGGCAAGAGAGCACGTGTGACGTCACGAACAAATAAATTTTGACTTTGACCCTTTTCGATCTCTAATTATTTCCCTAGACAATCCAATAAGACGTTCATACACCGATTTTGACGAGAGTCGGACCAATATCTGCCGAGATGTGACCTTTTGAATACAAAATTACTCCCTAATTGTATATTCGTTTAACAGCATCATGCATGTATATATGTCGCTGCAGTCACGAACGATCAGCTCATCTAGCTCCATCCATGCTATTGTACTTCATACTAATTGCCTGAACTCGGCATAATTTCCAGAAACGTAAACAAACTCAACGTTCTAAGTTTATTAAAAACTCAACCAGTGTTACAAACTTTTATAATTTTTATTCATCATCAACGATTGTATCTGAAAAAATACAAACGATTGGATTTTCAGCTAGAAAGGGAATTTGCTGCAGGGGTGGATCCAGGGTTTGGACATGAGTAGTTTACTCTGAATTTATACCCAACCCACCATACCCCTATTAGTTATAAACTGCCTAAAAGGATACATCTACCATAGCATGCTGTCTGCAGTCAAGATCCTTGTACAGATTTATCTCAGTTGAAGAATCTAGCACATCAAAGGATATCATGTGAAAAAAATGACATCAAAAGTATTAGTATGTAAAAGTACAATGCAAAATATATGCTATTAAAGGAAAAGTG